TGGGGGGTCATAATTGGCTGTTGAATTAGGAGATCAATCCAGCGGCCATCACTTCAGGCAGAGCCCTGCCTTCACTTCATGGCCTAACACTCCAAGGTGCTGAGTAGGCAATGCGGGAATGGACAAGAACGTGGAAACCGCTGCGTTAGTTGAAGTTTGCGGTTTCGGGTTCAGAGCTCTAAGTAGTAAATTGGGGATTGCGTCGCACTAGGACCATTATGGTCATTATGGGCAACTCAAGGTATCCCTTTACCAAGCACCGGTAGCCCAAGTGCAGGAGCAGGGACCCCAACATAGATTCCCATGCTATGGGGACCACTTAATTGGGAAAAACCCTAATCCCTACAGACGCCAATTTTGGCACCTGCAGTATCCTTGGGTACTGCCCCCCCTCAGCAACAGTTGGATAATATGTATAATATGGTCATATATGGCCCTTAATAGGGCCCTTAACATAGACTGTTACTGGGAGGGGGCAGTACCCAAAGTATCCCCCTAATTTTGTGAAACGCCCGCATGCAGATAGAGCCTCGATGGCCGTCAGCCCGCCCTCAATCAGAGCTGCGGCCAGCCTTGGCCAAAGCAGGGTTTGTAATGAAGCTACTATAATGATACGACTAATAGAAACATGTATGAATACTACTACTGAATAATCTAATACTGCTGCGCCCAAACATAATAAATAATACTCATAATAAGACTAATAAGACTAATAACAGAAAATACAAAGGACTAACAAAGTGACAATATGTGGGCGTTATCCAGTATTACTTCATAACAAAATGACCTCTTCGCGGAAATCAAAAATTCCTTTCGCGCACACCATCGCGAACTTTCGCGGAAGCATGTATGAAGCAAAGACCAAGCCCTGAACTCTCAACAAGAACCCTTGACCCATGCCCTCAACTCCAAAACCGAACCTGTAAGACCACAAAGCATGCCGGGAAGGTGAAGTGGGGCTTCAACTTACCCAAGCCCTTAACTCCAAAACCGAATCGCAGAAGCTATGTCGTCTCCCATGGCTTGCCGGGGCCTTGCTCGGCTTACGCGACCTTTGGCGGATCTTTCACGGATTTTCGGGTAAGATTTCTGAGACTGAGCCTGTGCCTCAGAAAGACGTGCAACCCTTTCACCTTTGAGAGCATGCCTGGAAGCATGCCTGCACTGCAAGAAAAACATATTATTTTGGAAAGCAGGTGAGGAACTATAGCTTACGATGCTTCTTTCGCGAAATCCAAAATTCCTTTCGCGCGCACCATCGCGACCTTTCGCGGAAGGCCTTGTAAGCCGCAGCGGTCGTTTTATACAAAATTTCCTTTTAGGTTTTTTGGACAATGCCCATGTATTAGCAATGATACTGACCATCTGCAGGTACTTCCGAAGCATGGTCTGGCTTCATCAAAGGCACGCAGGGGCGCCAGATGCATCCTCCAGGAGATGACACAAAGTTCTTCGGGTTTAGGATTTATGGTCAGTCAAAAGATAGTACCATCTTGCATTCACCCTGATCTGTGGCTGCAGCTCAACTTTTTGCAGAGAGTTCTAAATCCAAGCAGTGTTGCAGATCCTGCATGGCGACCACAGGCACCACAAGAGCCTGCTTCAGCTTCTCGGCTACCTGCAAATAGCATCTGGCAAGAGCAAGGCCTGGTGCTGTAGCCGAAAGAGTTCGGCTGAGAGCTCTGTCGGTTGACGTGTCCGACTAGGGTCAGCCTGCGCGGAAGCTTTGACACCTGGCCGTGGCCGTTGGGCGGCTGGGCGCCGCAATGCCAGTGTGAGGCCAACGCCTGGGAGCAAATTCTCGTGCAAGCGCCTGAGCAGCGTGCTCCTCAACGAAGCTCTTCTCGCCGCCTGCCAGGGCGCCTGCCGCCGCCCCAACGGCCACGGCACCCAAGAAGGCAGATGAGGAGGAGGACGACGACCTCAAGCAATGCTTCGAGAGATCGCATGACTCAAAGTCAGGCAGAAGGCTATGATTACCCAGGACCTGATGGCACCAGTGTCCGGCAAAGTGCGGTCGAGTCGTTGCAAGCAGTAATGCAAGCAAGGCACATGTCTGCACGATAATGCAGGACCAGCGCTGGTGTCTTGGGCTGGAGCCGATATGTCATGTCATCTCAAGGAATTGTGGGGTAGTTGATGGGATAAGAGCAACTCGGAGAGAAAGAACATGCGTAGTTCATAGCCTAATCATCAACTCCGCAGGTCGCATCACGCCTTCTTGGAGATCTCAGCGTGCAAGGTCTCGAAGTCCTGATGGTGTCAGGTCTGAGGAGTCTAACGGATCACAGATGGTGAAGTATTGTCTTGAAGCCAGAAGAGACAGCCTGACATGCTTGCTAGGGCATCTGCTTCGAAAGGATGTTTCGCGAGACCTTGAAGGCCAAAAGCGATTGCCTCATAGTCAACGAGAAGTTGCCCCACTTCCCCCTGAGCTCAGGGTCCCTTAATTTGAACTTAGGAATCTCTGCCTCGACCACGAAGACAGAATGCTTGCCAAGGAAGCTGGATTCGACCTCTGCAAGGTTGGGTGCGCGTGGCTGCAGCTGAGTTTGGCTCCCGAACGTTCCCATCCGTCTAAGTGTTAGAATGTCTTGGAAGCTTCGGCCCTGCTCGCCTCGGTACGTGGTATCGCAAGCCTGTCAAGAACGATGTTGCGCAGTCCCCTCCGGACATTCATGCATTTTCTGCTGGAGGCTCTTCAAAGAAACACAGATCAGCCGTTTCAGATGATTGCAATTGGTGGACGAGGTCTGGCAGGCCGGGGGTCACAAGCTGAAAGAAAGGCTCTCCGAAAGCACAGGCTCCACCTAACCCAAAGGCTAACTTTAGAACTGGCAAAGCAGATCCATGGAGGTATGTGGAAGCACGGAAGTTATGAAAAGGTGGCCTCACAGGCAATGGTGGTTCGCCGCTGGAGCGACTGATGATCGGCTTCGCCTGCCTGCTCCGAAGCTCCGCAGTAAGGGCTGCAGGTTCGAGGGGTTTTGCTCTTTGGCAGACCTGTGCATGTCTGCAAGCCCCTGAAAGCGCTTTTGGGGAGATGGTTGGTTGAATGTCCGTCGACTGGACTTGTATCATGTGTCAGAAACGAAGGCCAGTAGTGAAGCTCCTGCCTGGATGACTTGCTGCCGCTGCTGCCACCTGCATATGCGAAAGAATCGAGATTGCACTGCGCGCGACATGGCACCAACCTTTCAGAAAGCTTGGCTGTCCAGGCATGGTGCTGGCCTTGGATCAAGATGCAGCAAGGGCGGCAAGTGCCAGCTTTTGAAAGGATGAACTTGCAGGCCACTGAACTCACAAGAAGACTCCAACGCGCAGGCTACGTATGACTTGTGCAAAGCTTTCAGCGGAAACCGCGAGCAACTTCTGTCAGTTAACTTCGCTGTCAAGCTGCACGATTGTAATGTATAGGTTTGCACCTGAACTAAACTTGGAAAAATGCTGTGCGTCTGGCCCTCCATGGGACCCAGGCCGCAAAGCGAGCGGCTCAGACAAATCTCTTGAAGGTTCAACACTGAAGGCTTGGAGTTGGCTGGAGTGGGTCCTATTGAAATCCCTGGCGCATCCTGGACGACAAAAAATCTGAAGTAGAAATAGACTGCATCGATGCATCGCTGTGCTCTCGGGCCAAAGGGCTGAAGCGTTTATGGCGACCAGGACTGGGCGGCTAAAACTCAGATGACACAAGACGTGACGTGTGACAAGCGGCTTGAACTACCCAAGCTGTGATGGTCAAAATTCACCCCCCATAAAAGCTTACAATACCATGGAAGCCGTCAAGAACCACATCTGTCAGCTTGCTGTGTTTTGCAATGCGGTCAGCTTTGAAAGCCAGCGTCCGTGCCGGTGCAGTCGTCGTTGCTCTCGAACAATCCGGTTCCCGCACAAGAAAGCAATTGGTCTGTCAGGCTCCAGTCTGCGCAGAATGTTCGGGTTTAGGGAAGTTGCTGCCAAGGGGATCAGCGGTGTTACAGGGCCTCTCTGCTCCAGAACTCCGTTGTCAAACCATGCCGCAGAATATCTCAAGCACTGCCCCTTCTCCAGCTCCAATAAGAGCGTCCAAACACCTCACTTCTTCAAGGTTTAGGGCTGAGGACTCATCGCATGTTAAGAGCTTGGTGTTCATGGCCTCTGCTTTTACGCAGGACATAACGTACTCGCATTCTGCCATTTCTAACTGCTCAACGCCTGAAAGCAAGTTACGCTCGGAGAGTCCCTAAGCTTTGTTGACATGTGTCTTCCTTTGCAGTGCTTCTGTTGATACCTCTGCAACCCAAAGCCCTTGATTCCCCAGCCCCGAACCCAAAACCGTGAACCAGGAGTCAAGACCCACAGTTGCTTCCCCGGCGCATTCCCTAGCCGGGCACATAGTTGGCGTCGCCGGCTGTCCAGTTGACAAACTGCTCAATTTTGGCTCTGGCAGCCATCTCCACTGTCTGACCGCACCAGAAATAATACCACCAGACGTGGTTCAGCGCCCACTGGTAGATTGCTGTCTGTGCTGCCCATTTGATGTACAAAAGCATCCCACGCTTGGCCTTCTTGCTTTTTCGAAGCAGTCTGTGCATGACCTCAGAATGCAGGTCGTACAGGGCCGGGAATGGTTCGCAATAGACCATGCAGCGGCACCCATAAAAACGATCTGTGTTGCTCAGGGAGCTCATTGAAAGACATGTCAGCACCTGCTCCGCAAGCTTCTGTCTAACATGCCAATCGGGCACTTCATACAGGCAGAGGAGGATGACGTCAAAGGTCAACTGCCAGAGCTCTCGGTCTTTGCAGGCATGGCCAAAGAGCGAGGCTATTGTGGCTTCCACAGCTGTCGGATTTGCTCGCCACCAGTGTTTCAGCGCGGCTGGCTGGAACATATATCGGAAGCCTCAGGGCATCACGTGTCGGCACACCAGCGGATGAAACATAATGGAATTCTGAAGCAAGGGAAGCATGGACAAAGCATACAAAGAAGATTCATGGCTGTCCATCGACCGACCAATCCACCATGCTCTCAAATTCGAAAGCACCTTGTTTTTCATGCTCACCTTGTGCCCTCCATACCCACTCTCCGCTAAGATGGCAAGGTTAGGCCGCGCGGCCCCATCACCATGAAATGGAAACGTGACTCGGACTTGAAGGGGTGCTTTAAGGGGAAACTTCAAAGTCTTTCGTCTTGACGAAAACAAAGTTCAGAATAGTTCACCTGGTCTTTCCAGCCATTTTAGGCATGAGGACAAGCCGGATAGGCATGGATGGGCAGAGCTGGGATGGATGTACACGGAGAACATGTGCACACCAAAGCTGTGATGCTTCTCAGGGCTAATGAGAGTTATGCCCAGGGCATTTTTCCTGTAGTTCTCTGCGCTCCTTTATTTGTGAAGGGTTCATCCTCTTTTCAACGACAGCATGTTGCAGAGGTACCCGCAGCAGTCGATGAAAAAACAACGTCTTTGCGAGGTCCAGCAACCGCACCGCCTCTCAAATTATGACCTCCTGGCAGACAAATCTCCAAAGGACGCCTTCTTGCCAAGTCAGTGCGAGATACCAGGCGAGTGAGTGTGCAAGGGAGTTAGCAAGGAAGCGAGTGATCTTCAGACCAACTGAATGACGCCTTGGTGCTTAGAAGGGAGGCGGGATAGGATGTGATGGGTGATAGGACTATTGTATGGGAGGACATGATCCATTCAGGCATTCCCTTCCAAGCACCATGCAGATAAGGGCTTCACTGTGTAACTGACAGTTTCAGCGAGTGTTTTAACAAATGAGCGCACGACATACGCTTCCTCCCTCAAATGCTGGCTCATTGCCAATTTCCGCCACAGTACCCTTGCAAAGCGTCGGAAGGAAAAAGCCGCAGCACCCCATCCAGTGTTCGTGACACTGGCCATACTAAGAGTTTTCAGTGGTAGAGCACCCCCAGAGATAGGATTTGCATGGGATAAGGGGGATCGCTTGAAAGAGTTCCAAAAGTGATGTCTTGAGAAGCGCTCACCTCAAACTTGGAAGACTAAAAGCTTTGTGAATTTCAGCTTAGATTAGGTTTGCAGGGCGCGAAAACGTAAGCGTAAAAGTCCTAGACACTGCAATCATCGGGGTGGCGGATACAAACAATATAGCCAAACAACAGCAACCCCACTTGCAACGATAAAAGCTAAAACATCAGTACTGGCTGAGAATCAAAGGGCGACTTGCGAGCAATGTCCAACTCGCGCAGGAATTCTCAGCAAACACAACCCGCAGATGACCTAGGGGGCGTTTGGAAGTCCTTCTGGACACAGGCCCGGACGTAAGTGAAAGATACCTGACTCGGCTGTTCTCGTTGTACAGCCACTGTCAGGTTCATTGTTGTCCCCGTCCATAGTAACCCATCACCACTGTCTTGGACTCATGATCATGATTAGGTTGCTACTATGCTGTTCTGCTACTCTGGGCACCACTGCCTTCACAGCCTGCGCGAACTTGACTGCAAAGCTGCTGCGCCGATTCACTTTCCGAGGATAGCATTCTGTAGAACTTCCTGGACTTGGCTCCGGGAAAAGCAAGGGGAAACCACTGCAGAAACCTGAGCTTACATCAGAATTAAGAAGTGTTTCCAAATGCGGGCAGATTCAAGCTGCGCAGATGCGGGTACAGCAGGCCTCCGTAGGCATATTCAGAGACGCTACTGGAATACTGAATACCGGCCACATGCCACGGAATGCACCACAAATCCTTATCCTTCCCTGCAATTGGGCTGTACCTACTACTACTTCACTGTACGTGATTGGGGTGACAGTCACGTGCTTCCCTGCTCAGGAGCAGGCTGTCATAGAGATTCTCTTCATCTGGCAAAGTGTCAGATCGAAGCTGGTGACAAGCCAAGAACGTGTTTGGCCTCGGGAGCTTTCAGATCTTTACAAACTGGTTGTGTCACGCACTGCCCTGCTACAACGACCTGTACAACCTTAAGGGGCTTCAAGCAAGCCCACCCTGCGCTGCGGCCTCTCTGGCATGATGACCGAAACCATGCGATCCACCAGAACCTCAATTCTTGATGAGTTCTACATGCTTCGACCAGACATATCACTGTGATCAAGTCCTATCTCAACAGCGATGACGGCACTGCAGGTGATCACACTGACAATAGCCATGAAAAGAAGCAAAGAAATAATGGTGATCATGCTCATGGGCGCGTCTCAGGTACTAATTCCACACTAAAGGGCCTTCGTCACGGACTGATCGCGGCAAGTAGTACGGAACGAGCAGAACTCATGCACCTGCAGGCACTGGCGCCGTGCCTAGTAGCATCATCGCTGTTGTGATCATGCTTGCGTGGCTGCCTCCCATGCTGATATCATGACGATTACAGGTCAGCATTGCAAATTATCAGGACCATTAACGACGCTACCAGCACCAAAAACATCAGCACGATTGGTAGAGCGTTCCTACAATTCCATGGCTTCTACTGCTTCTCGTTTTTTCAGCTTTTATTCTGGTGTTGCTACTAAGCTGCTTTCACAAGAGTTCTCACAGCATGTGTTCCTGGGTCAATTTGACAGCATGCTTGCCAACTGCACTAAAACCCTGGACCCTGAACCCGAATGAATTTCTGGGGGTCTGGCCGTAAGGTATTGGCATATGTCTGGGCTGATGCCTCGGGGCCTGATGTGCAAGGGCTTCATACTGGTGGCTTGGGATTGTTGATCTTTGGGGGGTTTAGCGCAGGTTGAGGGGCTCCCTTGGAAAATGACGAAAAATGGAAATGGTTCAGGAATTGTTGAAAGGTCACGAAACATCTTGATCAGGAAACATACCTTAAACCATGTTGCAACTCTGCCATCTGGGCTAGCGAGGCAGGACAGAAACGAAGCTGCTGTCGGCACAATGCTTTGATAGCCCTGCTGCTGAGTCTTTTGAAGGGTGGCCCCTTTCAGCTGGCACCGTACAATCGGAACTCCATGAATGAAAAGCATCAATAAAAGCTCCTCGTCATACATTCAGGCGAGTTGCCAGGGAAAAGGGGCAGTGCGCCGAACAAGCATTCTATGATCTGCATGGCGCTTTGGTGGGCTTTCCAACACCTGGCAGGAGCGTTGTCACAAGCGCACGCTTCCAACTTCTTCAGCCATGTAGGTCCGCGCTTCTTCATCAGCAACATCTGCGCCACCCTGCACAATGCAAGCATGTTGCCATGGCGGCACCCAGAGCGCTTTGCACAACAAAAATATTTATATATATATACATACACATACATCATGCTTCCGGATCTTCGTGTTGATCTTCGTGTTGGCACAGGCCTGGCACGTCTCCGTCAAACCGCCCACGGCCGTGCACACAGACTCGCACAAGCTGCACAGACTGTCACCTGAGCATGGATGCTATGCTATGCTGTGCTATGCTACGCACAAGTCACAGACTCTGCAGCAGTCAGCTCGGGCCCGAGCTTATGTCAGACAAAACTTGAAGGGCCACAGCAGCTGCGGTCTCTGCTGCCTGCCAAGCATGAAGGGATTACAGCAGCTGCCTCGCCCTCCCAACTCAACGACCCAACCCCTGATCTTGACCTGGGGAAGATCGTTGGGTGCAGCACTGTCTATGGGCCAGCTGCAACTCGAATGCTGCATGGAAGGCAGATTCAGGAATCAGCTGCCAAAACATGCAACCGCTGATCATAACAAAAAGGCTTCTGGCAGAGCTTTTCAAGTTCTGAAAGGATCATGCGGCGTTGATGTTACACAAAGGCTAATAAGGTTTGTGCAATGCCACTTGTCCATTTGAGCGACAGGCAGGAAGGGACCTGGGTCTCACCGGCCGCAGGCGCCATACTGGCTCCCGAGAGTCGCACTCTACCGCTCGAATGTGCTTTAAAGGGAAGGCCCCTTCTCAGGGGAACCCCCGTACAAAGGGCGCATCATGTTAAGACATCGTTGTGTGTCATTTGCTCTTGGGATACATGTGATCTTTCCAACAGCTCCGCGAGAACAAGCTGCCTCGCAACAGCCTGAGCTTGGGCCATTGAATTCACAACATCGTCAGCTGCCAATCGGAGAAGAAGACAGCATAGCTGCCAAAGCTTCACAAACTGCAGTGACTTCCCATTCAAACCCATGTGCTGCGCGTGCTTTCGCGTGCAAGCTTTTCTGCCCGAATACAGACTTCAAGAACATGTTGTGTTGATCAACATGAACGATGAGGTGCGCAACGACACGGATGCAAGAGCGTCTTTATTTACTTGTGTAGTTTTCCGCCTCACTGGAGGCCTCTTTTCGCTGTTCGGCCACTAGCACCTTGTTTTCAAACTAGCTGCTTTTCGGCATTTTTGGGGCTCGGCGATTTTGTGGTTCGGGGCGAATGTTTCAAGTCTCTGGATGATCAGGTTTAGACGTTTACGGTTCAACAGTTTAGTGCAAAACAAGCACAAGCCAGGCAAGAGTAAAGACACAAAAGAGCACACATCGCATACTCGTCGAACCAAACTCAGACATTGCCGAGCTGCACCGCGAGGCAAGCGAAGTATCTCAATAAAACGCAGCCATTCCCAGACCCAGTCAAGAAGGAAGAGCCAATGTTGGCAGCATTAACCAGCAACTTTTCTGACACCGAGCACTGCATATGGCTCTACAGCACTACATCTTGGACAGATGATGCGTTGTCAGATGTCGAAGCATCATCCACGGCCTGTTTGAAGAGATACGGAAGGGTAGCGTGGGGAACTCACGAAGAAGAGATGGAGAAAGAGAAACAAGGACAGGAAGAGTCAGAATACCCCACGCAGACTTTACAGCGCTGTAGTAAGGCACTCGGCCCCCCGAGCCTCAGAATCTGTGTCTGGGCATAGGATCTCGGCGGTATGCTCCAAGCGGCGTATGTGCAACACCTGAATGGCAAGTCATTTTTCGAATGCAAGCCCGGAACATCAAGAAGGACGCACCATGCTACCAGCAAGTAAGTTAGGACCTTGCAAGGCAACGGATTAAACGGCCGTCGCCGAACCAACACACGGCAAACAGCATCAGCTGCAACAAAAAGAACATCCAGTTATGGCCGTCGAGCAAGATGCGAACGTTCATCGCACACTCATCACATGCTTTTTGGGCCTGCATACCAAGAAAAGTATGACAATAAACACCACGCCAGTTGCAGACACGCCAGTTGCAGAGTTCCAAGCACGGTGCCCAACCAGTTCTCCATTGCGAATACCCGACTCTTGACAAGACAGTCTTATATGCAATGTGTGACGCTTCATCACCCAAAATCAAAATTGACATCGAAACTGTTTTCAACCTGGCAAACGGCAAGTTGAACTTCTCTAGAGCTCTGTGGCGGACTCATTGTATAGTGTGTCTGGGCTTGAGATGTACGCCATCGAAGCACAGGGAGGAACGGCCATGCTTGAGAGGACAATGCGAGGAACCGACAATGCACGCTGCTCGTCCGTAGGATCGACGAACAAAAGAAGGAATAATGCCCTCGTAAGTCATAGATCTAATGAATGCTATGTATTGCCTTGTGTAGTATGATGGCCAGCAAGTCTCTTCATCGTTGATTGCAGTGCTAGGATGTGGCATCTATCACTGCTAACACTGCTTCGGTGATTTTGTCACAAGTGGTGGCTTTTCAGCAGCGTGCAGAGATGCTGTCCAGGCTCTCCTGCTACAACAAAAAGAGCCGCGTGCACGCAGTATTTGTTTGAAGCTCATGGCTCGATAGCTCTTTGCGTCATGAAGAGAGCTGCCTGCGTGGGCACAAAAACGGACACTGAGCAGATGCACAGTGCTCTTGACAGGCAGATGTGAGATGATGTGAGAGCGGGTTAGTCACATCCGGGATAGAGTGAAGATTCGGAAACAATATCAATTCCATGCCATGCCCCTTTCTCTGCAAGAGTGCGAATTTGAGAAACGTCAAGCCCGGATGCGGCGCTCACAGATCCGGAAAAGCTTGGCTGCCCTCATCTGTGCCACGATCTTCGGTCTCCATCTGCAGCTCCAAGAGAGGTAAAGAGATGGAACCAGGCGTCACTAGGTCTAGGGGATCAGACTAACATACTACTGAAAGCGCTGCACGTGCTCAAAGTGGCCCAGGCGCAAGAAGTATGCTTTCAGTCTGCTCGTACTTGCCATACAAGTTTCAGGTCACAATGTTGCAAGAAAAACCTTTGCGGTCTACTGATCCATCTCTAGCAATCATGCGTGATGTATGCAATGCAAAGCGAGACTGAGAAAATCTCCATGTTTTTGCTGTATATGGCATTCCCAAACTGCAAGAACATGCCTGAGACAAGCACTATGACAAGATTGCCTTGCAACCGCCGCTCAATTTTATGATCTCATCCAACTTCGCTGAATGCACGAAACAATTCGGCGATGCGAGCAGTGAGACGAGCCTGCAACATGAGCACCAGGTGGCTCAAAAGCTTCCAAAGCCATCCGCGAAGGCATCTACTTTATCTTCTTGGCAGGCTTGTTCCCTGGTCCGGCATGCCAAGGTTGCAGGGCCTCTCTAATGGCGGCTATCTGACTGTCAGTGATTGGCGATGGCGACATTAGGTGGTAGTGGTTCTGCGGCAGATTTGAAGGTTGCCCACCCTTGTAGTGGGCTCCGATGTGAAATACGCCATCCTCAACGATTGTTGTCCAATTCGCGCCCGTCTTCTTTTTGACGGATGCCATGGCCTGTCAGGTGCTGCACACGAGTACACGGCCAAAAGTTGTGCAAAGCAGTCACCATCCCTAGCCAAGTGCCCTCAGCCGCTTCTGGGGTACATCTGCGTTGGAATGAGCAGGATTGAACATTTATGGCCACGATCTCACAAACAGACTGTGGAGGTGGGTGCTCATTTTGCTGCCCCCTTGGCCTTGTGACGGCACTTTGATTGGCGGATGGTACACTCTGAAGAAGCACTGGTAGCAGCATGCATAGAGATGCATAATCGCATAATTCTACCCTGGCCTGGTTCTCTCTACCTCTTCCTCCCCTCCCTTCCCCTTCTTCTTTTCCTTGTATGTACTGGATGTATTGCAATCAGCAGCATTTTCACTTTCTTCTCCTTTCTCTTCATCCTAGTCCATCTGGTGGCCAGCCAAGGCCAGCACCTTCCTGTTGGCCTTACCTTTCCGCCAGACAAGACTCGTTTAGACTCCTTGTTGGAAAGCTTTTCGCCCCGGCGATGAGCAGCAACATGCAACAACATTTGAGCAGATTGTCCCTTTCCCTGCTTCAGGCGCAGCTGATGTGCCTTTTACGCAGCGGATTGCAAGGTCACTATACTTCCAGACTGCTGTCACCCGCTAGGAGATTGGTGGCCTAGGGGAAGCATGCATGCTGAGCAGTACAGACTATGGCAGCATCGGAGCATGGGTGGCCGAGTTCTTCGCAGCACTTTCTGAAACTTGTGGAAGAACATTTAGCGTGCATACCGGCAGTATGACCTGACCTCACACAGCACACAGCTGCAGGGCCTTCTGAAGCACCTTGGTGGTCAGCTCGCGAAGGCTGACCCCCTTTGTGGAAACGGTGAGGACTGATGGCTTTAGAATGCCGGCATGTTTGAACCATCCATTTCCTTCCAGCCCGATGTCGACGTACCTTAGATTTCATCAACAATCTGCCGAGGCCGGAGGCCTGGGGCGTGTCCGGAGACTAGGAGAGTAAGCTAACCCCACTTCCCGTTGGCAAGATTTCTGGTCGCGGGAGGTTCCTCGCCCCAGGGGAGGTTCGTTTGTGGGCGCGGCTGTGGCTTGCTGTCTCGCCTTAACCACACTTGCCGAGGCGGTCTCGCGTTAGCAATAAAATTGCCCACAGCCAGAATCTACAATCCTCAAAAGTGAACATGGCTCTGCAATCTTTGACCAGGAAACTGCTGGCTGTTTGAGAGAATCATAGCTCTCTCCCTCGTCCGGTCTACAGGGTCAGGAATTGCTTCCAGATTATCCCTCAGGCTCTGAGTAAAGTGTGGCACTGATGCAGTCTTCACCTCCACTGCGTAGATGCGATGCATCTGGTCTTCGCTGAGTCGGCTGCCAGTCACTGACACACGATCATCTTTAATGCTTTCTTGAATATCCCAAGAGCCAGTGAGCTCAAGATCCCAAACGGAGTCAGACTCGTTCACGAGGAAAGTAGCCCTCGTCTGAGTCCTTGTCGCTCCTGCCTTCAGTACTTCTAACAGAAGAATACTGCCCGTCATGGCGCCCACGAAAATCCGGCCAAACAGGACCTTGCTGCAACACGACATGGAGGGCAACGAAATGACTCAAGACATCTTCAACGGCGTGCAATTACAGATCCGAATTCTCAGCTTCATAAATGTAAAAACCGAAAGCTTGGAATGTATCCTGACTCTTGCAGCACGGAGGCATGCATCTTCACCAGGTCAATGAAGATAAGACATCAGCAAACAACAATAACTTCTTACCCTGTACGGGGTTGGCATGAGTGCCCATGGCCAGGGGAGCAGCACGAAGCAAATCACGGATGGAAAGAAGAGTTTGAGCAGAGAAGAGGCAACGGTAGAAGGCCGCCCACCAAACTGAATCAGCGCTTCAAAGACACAAACAGCAACAATCGAAATTGCAGGCTTCCCGCGATGGGCTGAAACTAGCCAAGCTGTTTGCAGCACGAGAGCTGGCCTCCAAGATGCCTAGGACGGGTGCGAAGGGAAAACCTGGCGCTCTTGTGTGCTGTATTTACGAAAAGACACTCATGAAATCAAATCTTGCTTCACCATGTGCAGCCATTAATGAGGGTTTTGCGAAGCCTTTGGCAGACTCCCGAAGTTGGCTCAGCCAGTTCCCCAGCCCCCAGGCCTATCCCAGCCCCTGGTCCTGAATGCCAGTCATCCAAAAAAGAAACATTGCAGCCAGGGTGCACGGCAGTGCTGGCGCGGAACAGAGCACTACTAAGAATCCCAATCGAGTCCAAAAATGCCTCCTATATTCCAAGGGTGCATGGGCTACCCCTCACTCGAGAAATGATAGATTAGCTTTGCGGATTTAGCGCTTGGAGTGGGTCCGGAGATTCATCGTTCTGAGATCTGCTCACGCCACGGTTCAAGATTTAGGGTTCAGGGTTTGGGTAGGATCCCAGCAGAGTTATGAGGCTTTGGGGGAATGCCTGGAGGGAACCCATCGTCCTCAGAATCCCCCCGTTACTGCAGCGCAAAAACAGTGCCCCCTGGCATCGGAAGCGCACGTCATCCACAATGACTACCACCCCGAAACCCTGCAAAAACCCACAAGGCCATGTAGAATCTATGCCAATACACGGGGTATTTTGTGTCAGCCTGAGACGCCCATATACATCCCTGACCACCCTCCAACAAGGCCTTAAATACTCGCTTCTGTTCATTCTGTTCCCGTTACAGAGTCCCCACCGACTGTCTCCCGCTGCGAGCCAGGCCCAAAAGCGACTTTCGGCAGGCCAATTTGTAATTTAAGCTAGTGCGGCAAGCCGCGAAGCACAGCGGATTTCGGGTGCTCGTGAAAACTATGTTTGCAGCAGCTCAGAGGCATGCTCCGTCAAGCGTCAGAATCAGTGGTTTTAGCTTGCAATCTGGCTGCTGCTGCTGCTGCTGAAAGAGTGAGGTGTTCCGTATGTCCAGCTTTCCGCAAGTTAATCATTTAATTTCAATTCCATTTTTCTATTCTAATGTTGAGTTCTGATTAATAAATGGGGTCGTATTAGAGCGAAATTAGGCCTGAGCGGAATATTAAAAATGGGTACGGGTTCGAACGAACTTTGGAACAGAATGATTCCATGCTATGTTCTGCAAAAAGCCCGAAGGTCAAGATGCGCAAATGGAATTGAAGATTGTAGGCTTGCCAGAAACAATCGATCTCTTATGAAACCGCGTATTCGAACAGCCCAGCCAATCATTCTTGCTAAGGGATTATATACCGAGACCGCCGGAATGGAATACGGGCCATTACAAGGGTACGGAATAATCGGCGCCTGAGGCATGGACCCCAGGATCTGCAAACAAGATTAACATGTTAGTTGCAGATATATCCCAAATCGCAGGCCATTCAGATTCTCAGATATTTTCCAAGCCGGATACCACAATTTCTTACGAAACCGCTTATTCGAACAGCCCAAGCAATAATTTGAGAATAATCGGTGCCTGGCAAACGCGAACCCCAGGATCTGAAACAAGATTACTTTTTAAATTGCAGCTGCATCCCAAGCCTTAGGCCCGGAGATCCGAGTCTTCTGAGACCAAGGGAGAATTTTTTTTCCAGGGCTTAGGGTTTGTGACTGGACTGCTTAGAATCCTTTGTTGTTTGGGGGAGGCGAAAGGGGGAAGGGACCCGCCATTACAAAGTTGAAAAAATTTAGGTTAAACGTCACCCGCAGATTAGCTTTGTATTAACAATACGCCCGTGGAAATCACTTTGCTTCTCGCGCACCATACTTTCGCAAGCCGCGGCAATCCTGATTGTTGCACACACACTCCCCTTTGCAGCTGTACCCATCTATATGATCATATTTCATCTGCCCTAGCACTGCAGACATCAATTTTTATTTCCAGATACAACGTTGAGACCCAGAAGCAGCCATGCGCTCGGTAGCCTCCAACCGATCGGAGCCGGCCTTGCCGTACGCAACAGCCAAGCCGCTCGCCGGTAAACATCGGGAACGCGCGCCCAAAAACTCGGCCCGTAGCGCCGCTCATGAATTCGCCCATAAAGCCGCCCTGGAACCCCGCCCTTACAGCATCGCAGGACACCTTCCTGAACACTCTGCGCAGGACGTGCGCCTGTAATGCCTAAATGCCTCGCATAAAGGAAATCCTACCTTCGGACTGTAGTGCGCCAGTTTAAGGCAGAGCGTGCACCATCTACGGCCCATTCCATACGAGGACAAGCTGGCAGACGGTTTTGAAGAATCAATACCAACTTGACGCGTACCAACTCGCAGGATGTATTACCTCACGGAACGAGCTAGAACACCCAGCCGTCGCCACTGCTGCGCAATCCTAACGGCGACCGTGTTCCAAATCGACCTCGTGAAAAATTGGAAGATACGAAAAAGAACACAAGCATTTTGGCTTCAAAAACGAAAGCAAAATTTGGGGGCTCTGAAAGCTTTAGGTGCATGACATATTCTCTGTTGGCCCAAGCAATCCAAAACAAAACGTCAGCAACAAGGAGCACGCGTGATCCAAGCCCGTATTGACTTGCTTCCGCCCAGACTGATACAGTTGCACTTGCGCACGCACGCCCAAACAACTAACTCCAATGTATCCTACGCCGCTGCCATGGTCCTTTTTGTGCTGGGACAGGCTGCAGATCGAAATACACAGCAGTGACAGTGCGTGTGTGTGACATGCTTGTGCAAATTTTAAAATGGTTTGCGCAAGGCGAGTTCCAGGTGTTCCTCAAATGCTCGCATAAACACGGGCTGCGCGCGAAAGCCCATCTTGGCGTCGGATTCTGGCGTTCTTTCTTAGGTGAGGGCGCACTGGATGCATAAAACGTCTTGGGCGCACAAATGCGGCCTATGTTGGCATCTCAAAGTGTCCTGCGTAGTTTTATGTCAAAGTTTCATGAAATATGTGGCGGGCCGGGATACCTCCCTGCAGCTTGAGCAAATACATAAACAAAAGTGAGAATCCGAACGACCCAAGTTTGCCGAGCTGCCATCACGCCAATCGCAAACTGCTACAGCATTGCCACGTGAAAGATGTTCCTGTCTGAGGCTTTCAGAGGTCTCAGCAATAGGGGTGTGAATTGCGGACATGGGCCCTCGTTTTCAGTTTGGGCACATGGGCACTGCACTGATCAATCTCCGACAACCTCTTAGCACTATTCCTTCACCAGCACATGGAACGGTCACATGGTCATTGGCCATGAGCTTCCGTTGCACCAACGAGTCGCAATACATCGCAATTTCCATATCAAAATGAGAGGGAAGTCCGAAGTTGATTGGCGACCATCTCATGTTCTCTGCTTGGTGGAATAGCTAGAGGTTTCAGCTGCATAGCACTGACGCTGAACATCTTTTCGAGGGATCCAAGCCTTTGTCAGGCACATAGTAACCCCAGTTTTCCCCGTTATTGGCTTACAAAGTGCCCCCGACCCTAGGCTGAGCCTGGCCCCCCTCTCTCGTCACATCCTATAGGGCCTATATAGGGATCACCATCTTTCATAATGAAGAATAGACGAAGGATGCCTCCCGACCCTCCAAACACCTCTTGTTGGAAGACTGGGCAATCTAGTTGGAATCTTGGAACCCTAGAGTAATACTGTTATCAGGTTACTGGCCACCTTGCCATCTTCCAGAAAGACCTGACGCCCATCACAGATTGAGATCTCGCTCTTCCTCTACGGCTTTGGGGCTGGCCACAGACTTCAGAGATCAAGCTGCGCGGACGCTTTGCTGCCATGTCCGAAACGACGCAGACAGGCACTCTTTTCTTTCAGTGTTGAGCCAGGTGCTTTGATTTGGATGAGGAAGCAGCCCTCGGCCTGCACAGCGTATGTCCAACAGTTAAACGCAATTCATCTCGCAGAAAGCTAGCTGAGCGCGTTCAGGGACATGATTGCGCCACCACGGTTGTACCTGAGTGTCTGCGAAAAAGGTCTGCGCTGCAGCTCGTTACGCCAACTTCTCACCTCCGCCTTCGCCAATGTGGCTTCCTCCGCTCCATCCACGTATGTTCAGCTGGGCAAGGAATTTCTGACTTTTTGAGACGACCCACTGGACAGCTTCCGAGTCAGGCTTGCCCCACAAAACCTGGGCAACAGTTGAGGGCCGAGAGGTAGCTTCCGCATTTGCGCAGCAGTCGCTCCTGAAAGCTGCCAGCAGCTCGAGATGCGGATCTGCTTCCAGGGCCAACCATGGCAAGCAGGGCGAGTGCTTTAGTCTCAGCTTCATCCCCGCGGTCGGGCCCACGTGTCAGAGATGTCGGACAAGAGAAAGTGTTGTCCGCCGTTCTTGACTGCAACATGGTCACTCAGTACCTGGGCAAAAGTATCTTAGCACTTGGCAGAGATCTCGGCAGGGTCTTCAATTTCAACCTGGCATCAGGCCCCGACTTTTCTCTCGCACTGAGAATAATACAGGAAGACAATCGGGAAAGACGCCCGGGTTAGGGAGCAGCAGAAGAGCTCCCAGCTGCCTTGGTGAAAGCACATCTGCTGTGTCTCCTCTAATCACTCTCAACTCCTAAGTCACCTGCTAAGACTCTGATGCCCATATGTAAATTTGATCACCACTTATTGTAAACGCTGCCATGTTCGCTGCTACTCAGCGCACAATATCAATCCAATGAACTAGAAGTATCCAGCGTCGCTTTCCTCGGCCTCCGCGAGACAGGACCTTAGGTTTTGAGGTTTAGGGATTAGGGCTTTGGCGGGTTCTGA